GAGGGTGTGTGTGTGTGTGTGTGTGTGTGTGTGTGTGTGTGTGTGAATCCCTCTGCGCTGCGTTAAAACTGGAGCTTGAGTGAGGGGTCCTGCTGCTACAGAGAGGGTGACATTTACCCCCATGGAGGGCTTCAGCCAAAATCCTGCCTGGGGTGGCGGTGGGAGCCGTTCCTATACATCCTGGCCCCAAACTGGGCATTCCAGGCCAGCGAAGGCAGAAATGCCAGAAGTAATTAAACCAAACCAAGGCTTAAGCCCCTTTAGAAATCAACATAACCGGTTTAATCACCTTCTGAAACTTGTGTAGGGCTGCGATTTTGCGGGGGGCGGGGGGGTCCCTTATTTCTTTGGGTTGTTAACAAGAGCTGCCTATCTTCAGCTTGATTTTGGTTCAGGTGCCCCTGGGGAGAGGCAGTGAGGGTGGGGTGGGCGTGGCGACTCAGGAAGGAAAAAGGAAACACTAAAATGTGATTTGAGATCATCTCTACTCGCCCTCTCCTAAGCCACGCCACCCTCCCCGCCCTGGCCTGCCTGCCCTCCCCGCAGCCGGGTACAGTGCTGAGTGTGCTAAATTAGTCCATTAGAGAAATTCATTTCTCTTTATTAGTCTGTGTCAAATCCTTTTTATTAGTGGCTGGAAACGACCTCTCTTCTGCAGTAAAATGTCATGCCAGTTCACTCCTTTTATTTGTTCTGCACTGACGAGGCTCCAACTCTCACCGAATTGGTGCAGTGAGATTTATTTCCTCCAAATTTTGAACGGCTTAAAAGAGATTGGGGTGGAGGGGCGGGCAGGTCGAGGCAGCGTGGAGGAGGGGAGGGCGCACAGGGAGGCAGAAGGCGAGCTCTTAAGGAGGTCAGGCGCCCTCGGGTCTTGGAAATAAAGTCTAGCGGCCACCACTCACACCCAGTTCATCATCTTCTGAGCCCCGGGACTGAATTTCCACATTGCAGCTCCTGGCCCCTGAGGACAGCGATCTGGACAACTCCAGCAGGAACTCCTTAAACCCATTTCAGCTGGAGAATCGGAAGCTCCAGGGAGCCCATATCCCAGGCCTACCTGGAAATCCTTCTTCCCACTCCACGCCTGGCACACCCAGGGACTTCGTGTCCCCGGGGTACGAGGACCCCCAGCTCTCAGGGTCCCTGCCTTTGACCGTGACTGCCAGCCTCACCTCCAGCCTCGGGTGGCGATGTGGGAGGGTGGCTTAGGGATACGGGGCTACCCTGCAGCAGCTGTGGGCTGGGCAGGCGGGGACCGGGCTGGGACCTGGCTTAGAGAAGCCTGTGGCATGACAGAGGCGCTAGGGACCTGCGCCTGTTTCTCAGAGGGTGGTGCAGTGTCTCCGCGGTCCCAACCCTGAGGCGGCAGGTAGCTGGGAACAGTCTGGATTTAGGGAGGGATCCAGGTGGACCGAGCTTCGGTGCCGCAGGGGGTCACTGACCCGGCTGCGGTCCCTGCGAGACACTGTGGCTGAGCTCGGGCGCCATCTGAACTCCTGGGCCCTGGGACCAGGGGCTGGGGCACGTGTGTGGAGAGGGTGGGGTTGAGAAGGGAGGGTTTGGGAGCTGATCGTTCGGCTCAGGTGGGGACGGGCTGGAGGCAGGGAGCCATGCTAGCATCTGCGAAGCCAGCTCTTGGGCCCCTGGTTAATCTGGCGGGGAGGAGGCGGGGTGGAAAGCATGTTTCCTTCCCCTGAGAGATAGCAGAAGCCCCAGGAAACACCCTCAGAGAGGCCCCTCCAACACACACACATTCTGGGGAGATCTGACACCTAAAAGTGAGAGGTTTATAAAAAGGACCCGTGCTGTGGCTCTGCAGAGAGGCTGCACCTCACTTCCCAGTGTTTGTGATGACGCCTCCACCCACCCCTCGCCGCGCCCCTACCCCCACCCCCTGCCCCGGCCACAGCCCAGCTCTCTCTGAGTCCCGTGGCCCCACCTGTTCATCTCTTCGGCCTCATCTCCCTCCACTCCCCTCCTGCCCACCTTGTTCAGCCACACTCGCCTGGATTTTGTTTCAGAAACGGGCCAAGTTCATTCCTACCTCAAGTGCTTTGCTTTTTCTCCTGCTCGGGATGCCTCTCCCTCGGATATTGCGTGACCATCTCCTCATCGTTCAAGGCTTCACTTAAATGTCACCTCCTCAGAGAGGCCCTCCCTGACCACTCTCCTCCCTGCCGGAGCAAGGACGGGGCAAGGACAGGGCTGAGGAGCTCACGCTCCTCTCCCCGCCCCACACATCACTCACTCCGTGTACACAGAACACACAATCGCCGCACAAATCACACACGGAAAACACGTGGCACAGGCACACATGCTGCACACAATATAGGGCACACGTACACTGCTCACAGTACACGAAACTGCACCCGGCCTCGAACACCCTACCCACGTGCATACATACTGTACACATCCAACACTGCCTGTGCACGCAGTGCAAACACATGAGACAGCACACTTACACCACACTCGCACCGGCTCCCCTTGACAGGTGCACACGCATGCACGTGCACACAGGCTGCCCCCCTTCCTTCAGCAGCTGCCCGCCCTCCCTCCGCGAGCGGGCAGGGAAGGAGTGGTGACCGGCGGGGGTGCCCCCCACCACCTGGCACTGTGCTGCGGATTATTAGTTCCTGGTAATTTAGTGCCCTTGTACAGAGTCGATTTGTGCCTTTCATTCCTAATTGATCTAGTGGCTGTTTAAATGGCAGCAGGCATCTGTTGAGAGTAGGAAGGTTCATCAGGCGCAATAATTCATAACACCGTCTGGAATTTGCCTTTCATGTCCCTCAGCTAAACCACTGCAGGCTCTGCTTAAATTACAGCCACCGAGGCTTGCTTTGGTATTCCACTCAGGACCGGGAGAATCTTGCATTAAACTGGGATCAGGTTAGATTAGACTATAATATGCTGCGGTATTAGTGGCTGCAAATGAAGACTTACACTGGAGTTTAACCCCTTCACCTGGTTTCTCTTTGTCTTCAGACGGTGGCTAAGTGAATCTGCTGTTTTCCCCATCAGCCTCCTGGGGGTGCTGAATAGAGACCGTCTAGAGATTTGGGGCTGCAGACGGGCCACCCTCAGACATTGACCCTTTTTCCCCTCCAGACTGTAACCCAGCCTGCAGCCTTGGGGACTCCCTGCTTACCCATCAGCTCCCAGAACCTGAGGAGGGGAGAATGCCCAGAGGCAGGCTCTGTGAGCCAAGCGGCTCCTGTGAAGTAGGGACCTCTCTCCCTCTCCCCCCGCCCCTGAGCCCTAGTAGAAAGACCAGCATGCGTGGGTTGGAGTGTGGATGGGGCCTGCGCCTCTGCGTTTTCGCCTACAATTACTAGAATCCCAGAATGGGGCGGGCTCACAGGCTTCCCCCAGCACCTGCCAACGCTGAATAGCTGAATGTTTGGTTCTCCTCCCGGTGCGTTTAATCACAGCTGCAGGGGAGACGCCAGTCTGTTTGCCTTTCTGGGTCTTTCTGTTCTTTCCAGCATGGTAGCCATGAGCCACATGTGGCTATTTCAATTAAAATGAGTTAAAATGAAATAAAATGTAAATTCAGTGTCCTAGACACACAGTCATACTTTAAACGTCCATTGGCCTTGACTAGCTAGGGCCTACCATGTTGGACAGCAGACAGGAAACATTTCTATTGTTGCAGAAATTTTACCGCACAGCGCTGGCCAGAACATCCCCTTCTGCAGAGGCCTGGGGGCCAGGCCCAACACACATGCTTCCTCCTGCCCCAGCACGCAGATGCGTTTTGGGGACCACCATGGAGGGGAACGGGGCTCCAGGGCGCAGTATCAGCAGCCCACGCAAACACATGCTGGGTGTTAAGACATAGCAATTCACATACGATGCAGAGAAATAAGAGATGCACTTATGTATGCACATAGGCACACATATAACATATATACATTCAACAGATACTTATTGGGACCCACATATTTTGTTAGACTCTGAACAGACTGTGATGAATAAGGTGGGCTTGCTTCCTGCCCTCATGTAGCTCACATTCCAGTGAGGAAGGCAGGTGTTAAAGCAAAGAGCTGAGGGAGCCATCTGCATAGCATGGCGGAGGGGCAGCCTAGGGTGCGCCCCAGAGTGGGTGACGTCTCAGCTGAGATGCACAGAGCCCGTCAGGGAAGCCCTTCAGCTTCCATCATGTACCCCAGCCCCACACCACGCACCACCCACACCCACTCACGTCCTCTCCATTCCCTGACTCACTGTCGTTCACCAAATATTAAGCATCTGCTACGAGCATGCAGGGCAAGGCCCTAAGGATACAGCGACCATGAAGACAGGGACAGTCCGCAGGAAAACAGGAACGAATAACAGTGCAAATAATCATGTCACACTGATGTGCTAAGCGTGCGATGATGGAAAGGTGCAGGGAGGTGACAGTCATGTACTCCGGTGTCTGACCTGAACCGGGTTGGCCAACAGATGCAGGGCAGGTGGAGACACCTGTCCACCAGGTGCGGACCCAAATTCAGGCTCGCACACATCCCCCGTCTATACTCACAGACACACAAGTGCCCCCTCGGCTGGCTCCAGACAGCCGAGAATGGGTGTGTGTCCAACCACTAATGTTCAAGTGCAGGACTTGTTTAGACACTTCCCGCATTTCCTTCCTGGGTTGACCTTGACCCAGAAATTGACCTTGAGCCAGAAATGGACACCTACTTCCCTGAAGGATTCTACCCATCACCCTCATTTAATATCCCTGCAGTTTGTCACACCAAAGAGAAAAGCTGGGCCCCGGCGGGCAGGGAGACAGGCCCTCCGAGGCAGCAGGCGCAGGAGACGGATCTTCCCCACCAGCACACGAAGTGCTGCCGTCCAGGCTGACCCTGGGGACTGGGGACGCTCTCAAGGAGGGGGACCTTGTGGGTAGAAATGATGGGAGTGTGGGAAAGGGAGCCTGGTGGCCTCTGAGCCCAGCCAGCAGCCGGAGCCTCTGTGCGCATGTGTGAGCTCTTGCTGTCCCCCAACAGGCACCCTCTTTTCCCGCTTCTGACGCTGCTGTTTGAGAAATGTGAACAGGCCACCCAGGGCTCTGAGTGCATCACCTCCGCCAGCTTTGACGTGGACATCGAGAACTTTGTCCACCAGCAGGAGCAGGAGCACAAACCCTTCTTCAGCGATGACCCAGAACTGGACAATCTGGTAAAGACCCTCCAACCCCTGCCCTGGCTGGGGTCTGCCTTCCCTGGGGGCCCCTCCCAATGCCCTAGAAATGGTCTTTTCATTCATACATTCATTCATTCATTCATTCATTCAACAAAATAGGCGGCGTGCCCCCCGGTGGGGCCGGCACTAGAGGTGTCCCTAGCAGCTGAGAGCCATTTTTAAGTTCCTTAAACCAAGAGCTTCAGGTGCAGGTGTTGTGGCCACAGCTCCCCGCTTCTCTGGTCTGTGCCCGCAGTGGCGCCAGCATCCCCTACCCAGCCTCCTGCAGTGCAGACAGGAGGATGGGGAGGGGGGGTCGTAGTGCCCAGAAGGCCCGGGGCAGCGGCCCTGGGAGCTGCAGTCCTGGTGTGTTAGGGAATCTGCCGGCGGCTGGGGCGCTGCTGTGTGGCGGGCGAGGGGCCTGGCACATGCAAGCACATCAGGAGGGGGAAAGGCCTGGCGACGCGTCGTGTTGAGGAGGAGGCCAGCAGCTCTCCTGCCTGCTGAGGGGGACAGAGCGGATCAGGCCCCCAAACCCAGCTTGTCATCCGGATCATCACTAGAGCTTTTTATTATTTTTTTAGTATTTTTATTCTTCACCCGAGGTTATGACCATTGATTTTCGAGAGAGAGGAAAGTAGAGAGAGGGAGAAATATCAATGTGAGAGAGAAACATTGATCGATTCCCTCTTGTACGGGCCCTGACTAGGGATCAGACCCACAACCTAGGTATGTGCCGCGACTGGGCATCGAACCCGCAACCTTTTGGTGCAGGGGACGATGCTCTGACCAGCAGAGCCACCTAGACAGGGCCACTACAGCTTTTTTAAAAAATGCATATTCTTGGGCCTCACCACCAAGAAATTGTGAATCGTACATTTGGTGAGTCTATTTTTTTAAGTTTTCTGGGCAGTTGCAATTATCAAGGTTTGGTAATCACCGTATTAGATGACATCTGAAATTCTCATGTAGCCCTGGGAATTCTGCTGAGAGAGAGAGTAGTGGAGGGGATGTTCTGTTCATTCATTGTGATAAGTGGTCCTCCTGGAATTATTAGCCACAATTCTTGATTTTTCTGTGGGTGGATCACCCAGATTATGCATGGTGAATTTGGAAACGCTGCAAAAACTCTCTTCCACAAATTGACTGATTGTGGTGCTGACCTCTCACATCCAGAGGTCAGCTGGAACCTACTCCCAGAAGGAAAACAGAATTAGAAAAGCAAGTGTGGCTCCAAAGGGGAAGAAACAAAACATGCGCACATGCTCACAGCTGCACGCACACACCCATATACGTGCACACAGTGCGCAGCAGAACAGATTTCAGTTACTTGGGTTTATTCTGTCTTCTGAGTTATCCACCCGCTGCTTCTTCCCTCAAGAGTTGCACACAATATTTATGACGTCCAGGAGAGCCCCCCACCCCCGGCCTGGAACTGTGGGCGGTGATGTGATGGGGCAGCGTTTAGAGAGGGAGCGGGCCTGGGCCGGGGGGCAGCGCCTGCCGGCCCTCAGCAGCGACGGTGCAGGCGCCTGGGAGCCCCAGAGCACCTCTGCCTCCCTGCCCCCCCTCTGCCCAGGCTGGATAGAGCAGCCACGCTCCCGGGGGCCCAGACCCTGTCCCAGGCCCCCCGGAGAGCTCTCCTCTGCGGGCCCCTGGGTGGTCAGATGGGAAGTGCAGGCCAGTCTGGCCCTGCCTTGCTTTTCCACTGATCAGAATCTCAAAACAGCAATTGGGAAACTGGTCTTCAAAAGCTATACCCGCAGCGGCCACGGAGCCAGGGGCTTAGGCAGCCATTTCTCGGAGCTGGGGTGGGGGGTGGGGACGATGGTCAGAGTTCTGTCTCCTCACTGGACACAAAAAGAAACCAAGACCTGACCGATAGGAAACATGTAAAATTAGAGTAATGTGGAAGAATTTAAACCTTCTTCAGCTGTAGGAGTCCTGGGGACGTGAACCTCACACACCTTGCCCACCGAGGATAGCTGCCTATTCTAGTACAGCCTGGAAAATGCCAAAAAGTGTCTAGCTCTGTGCTCCCCTCTTGCGAACACTACCTGGGTCTCTCTGGGTCTGTTCACGCAAATAATCAGACTTCTTGATTCAGTCCAACAAACCTCCATTAATTGTCTGTTCTGTGCCAAGCCTGACCTAGGGACGTGGATACTGTAGAAGTTGCCCTGGCCGCCCCAGCCCTCGGGCGCTCCCACTTCTCAGGTGACCGGGCCGGGAGAGGTCCAGTGGGTGGAGCGGTCCTTGGACTTCCCATCCACTCACTGGACCCGATTGACCTAGATGAGTCAGCTGCAGCCACGACTGGCTGGTTGGTCAATATTTTATTTTATTACTTTTCTTAGTGATTTAAATTTTTTTCAAGTACACTTTACATTCAATATTATTTCATATTAGTTTCAAATGTATGGCATAGTGGTTAGACAGTTGCGCTCTTTACAAAGTGCTCCCTCTGATGATGGGTCGATTATTTGAATGAGGACCATAGAAGGAGCATTTAGGTATGAAAGCTCTGGGGCTGGGTTGGCTGTTTACCAGCACTGTGACTTTGACGACTTCACTCCTTGGAAGCTGGGTTTCCTCACCTGTAGATCTAACACGCGTATCTCCAGTGACTACAGTAAAAACATTAGTGAGATGGCTTGTGGAACTAAATGGCCTTTAAGAATCATAGCATCCAGAAGGTTAATCTCAAATACAGTGTCGCCAAAGCAAGGCATTCTAGCTTCCAGCCTTGCCCCCGGCCCCTGAAACTTTACGTGGGGAGCCAAGCAGTGCCCTTTGCGCCCCTCTTGTAGTCCCCTGTCGGGAGGGAGAAGGAGGGCCAGCCACGGGGGCCATCATTAGAACGAGAACCATGTAGCCAGCACAGCCGAGATGCACATAATTAGAAATTAGAAAAAGGTCAGATCGCGTCATTATCAGCTCAATCAGCTGCCGAGTGCCACAGCCAGTTAATCTGGCATCTGTATTTTTTACAACCCCGCACACGTAGCCCAACGGACTGTAACTCTTTATCCGGACAGATATACTGCGCAGCGGAGCAGGGACATAAAATGAGAGACCCCAAGCAAATGAGCTGAGATAATTGAGAGATTTATTTTATATATATGTGTGTGTCAGGGCGGCTTTCTTCTGCCCTTGAATATTGACTTTCACCAATGGAATTGTCAGGAGGACACTGGGGTCCCCAAAACCTGGTCCCACCCTGGCATCTCGAGCTCTGACCCCACCTTCCCTGCAGCCCCACCAAGCCCGCCCTGGGACCTGAGTCTTCCTGCTTCCAGCGGCCCCCTCCTCCTCTGAGCAATTTGCATGTTGTACCTTCCTCTGTTCCCAGACGAATCTCCCAGACGAGCCCCTGGGGAGCGGCTGGCTGCGCTGCCAGAAGATCCGAGGCTCCCAGACTGCAGCTCCCAAGGGGGCCCCTTTTCCAGCCGGCCAGCCACTCCCGCGGCACGGTAGGGGAAACACCGGTCCACAGAGGAGCGAGTCCGTTTTATAGATGCGGACGCCGCAAACTAGAGGAGGGAAATTACTTGGGGCCAGAACCAGGTCTGCAGGCTCCCAACGCGGTGCCCCTCCACTACGTCACCCACCTCTCCTCTCCCTGGGGGGAATAAAGTCCCCCTTCAAAACAGCACTGCCACCCCCTCTGCCCATCCCCGCCCCCCGACCCTCTCTACCCCCACTTGCAGCCGCCGGAGGCTGGGCAGGAGTGCCCCCTGGCTGGTGGCGCCGCGGGGCTGCCCCGCTTCCTGTGCCCACCCGTGCTCACCAGGCCGCTTCCCCCCCGGCCCGCTGATCCCCTGCTTGGGTCCAACGGCCTCTGACTGGCAGTTGGTAAAGTTTGTAAAATTTGCAAGTTCCCCAAACCCCTTTGAAAGGTAAAAGCTTTTTGTTTTATAAAATCTGATTTACGGGCCCCCAGTGCAGGGCCAAGGTTTTATATATTATGCAAGATTTCAAACCGAGGCTGTAAAACCTACGGTTTCAGTTACATGCATGGAATTTTTTTATGTGTAAATTTTTTAACATTTATGGGGCACGTTTTAATGAGACTCTGGTGTGGCTCGAGGGACATATTATGGCTGCCTGACCGCAAAGCCAGCTCCAAAGCGGGGCCCCGCAGGCCCGTGGGCCCCGGCTGAGGAGGCAGGGCCAGAGGCCCGGGGCGGGAAGGAGGAGCCAGGCCAGAGGTCCGGGCCGCGGAGCCCAGCTGGCCCCTCTCAGAGTCACTCACTGCAGCCTCGGCCCAGGCCCAGCAGGAGCAGAAGATTCTGCAGACACCAAGAGAGGGGGCGGAAAGACAGACTATCTGAGTGGGCGACAGTTAACATTAATAGAGCTCTTATCAGCTGTCAGGTGCTCTTCTAAACACTTGACAGGCACTTTCTGATTTAACCCTGTCTTTAAACCCACGGGCACGTAGTATTATGATTCCTATTCCCATTTTAAGGTGAGGGGACTGAGACACGAGGCGACACCCCCCGCCCCCCCGCCCTCCGGCTGAGGGTCACACAGCCGGCAGGAGGCAGAGGAGTCTCACGAGGGCGCGAGCACCTGCCCTCGTCGCGGTCGCCTGCCCTATAGCCGGTCTTCCCTCAGTTCTTTCTGCACACCGGGTCTTCTTCGTTCTCTTCTGGCCTCCACCCGCTCCATCCTCAGCGTGGCTCCGAGGGGGTCTCTGTTGTCCCATTTTACAGCGGAGGGAAGTAAAGTGCAGAGGTCACGTGTGCCGTCCAGGGCCTCTCAGCAGGCGGAAGACCCTGGCCTCAGCCTCTGAAACCCGTTGTACTCGAGCCCCAGCTCTGCTCTTGGGTTCTCACCACAGCCCTGCCCACAGCGCACAGAAGAGGGCTCAGGGCCCGAGGGCCCGAGACAGTGAGTTACAGGGCCAGCGTTTGCGCCAAGTGGGTCTAACCCACCTCCTGCCTCCGCACCACACCGCTTCTCCAAACGGAGGACGTCCGAGGAGAGGCGCC